GTGCAAGCTTATATGGACAATGAAGGCGTGCATGGATCATCAAAGATTTTGAAATTCCCTTTGGTGGGTACTTACGGAGGAGGGTCGACTGTCTGTGTAAGTAAGCATACTTCAAAGTGGTATTTGCAAATGAAATCTAGAGTATGAGTGTCCATAACGTCAAAAGAGTCATCCAGCATACGTACATAGCACCAATCATGTGTCATTGCTAGGGAGCTGAACACACAAATTGTTACGGCGGGTGATAGATGGAGTGGCGATTGCCGTCTGCTGTGAGTATCCTAGCAATAACTTGATGAGTAACTAAGAGAGGATATACCTGAGGATAGATCTGGTGGGTTGACGGAGTTAGCGAGATGCCAGGAGGCTGGGACTGAGGGACGAGAGGTCAAGACAAGCTGTAAGGTATTCTTAGAATATTGGACTATGGAGATATAAGATTGAGAAGCTGAAGAATTCTTTAGGGTAACTCCAGCTTCCTTAAGTACAACTACTACGTGCTAGATTTAAGTGAGGCTTTGGAAGTTATGTCATGGTGAGCCCTTCCAACTCTAATTGTCGGAGTTCTCCCGGAAATCTTCTCATTGAACCTTTTCCTGAGAACTTTCTCCTTGAACCTTCTTTAAGAATGCCTGGCCATAACAAAATTAATGGTTTAAAAAAAAGGTGAACTTATGACCTAGCTACTGTTTCAGTGCAAACGCTCAGTATTATTTTTTTACATCAGATTTTAACTGCGTATGCAGCTAGCTAGCTATGACACACTATCAGAGAAGAAGTACATATTAGATGGCTCAATATAAAGGAAGAGCACTCATGCCTCGGGTTTCATTTGCAAGTACCACTGCGAAGTTATGGTGGCTTTTATCACCCCAAGTCAACCCTCATCCGTGAATACCCACCCAGGGGAACGTCTCAAATACTATGAGTTATCCAGACATGCCTCCGTCATCCATCAACTTTTCTCCGCGCGAAATATGATCTGAGATGTCTCCTTCCCAAGTGGAGTAGGTGCCCAGGCTACTCAAACTTTACCAGAGAACACCAGTTCAGTATGCTTTGTATATCCGGGATATCTAAGGGAAATTACAGCCGCATGAAAGAAGATAACAAGCACAAACACAGGAATTAGGATATCGAAAATCGATGTCTTCTCATCGTTTTTGGTCCATCAATTCTCACGCGAGTCCTCCAAATAAATCTTTTCACAAACTATTTTGCCTTATCGATCGACCAGGGGGCTGTTTCAATTGCAAATAGAATCCTGCCTCATCAATAACCAGCCAGCTCTCACCATCAAGTTACAATTTTACGTACAGTCGCAAGGAGAAAATTAAGCTGTAAGATACAAAACTCAGCTTTTGGATCGTGGGATATTGCTGCTCTAATGGGGCTTCAAAACTTAAGCGAAAATAGAAAGCTGGGGGAGAGAGAGGTGTGTGTTTGTTGTACTACTTGAGTCTATGACTTTCCAGCACATTGAGCTCCTTTCTGACCCAGGCCACACCTTGTACAGTGCTCCTGGCCTCTCATGTTACTTGAAAGATCATTGATATATTGCCCTTGATGAATAGCCATTTAGCTCAGTGTTTACCCGTGGAATTCGGCCACCTTTTCCACGGAACCTTCTACTCAAAAAAACATGGTAGCAGTGGAAATTGCGTGCGCGGGAAACAGTCTCAAAAAAGCTCCAGCCCCAGCCAGGCAAGGCCTAGACACCGGGACCACATGAGGTGCGCATATTCATCTATATCTCCCTTCTTTGGGTTAGATGGTGCAGTAGTACAGTATTCAGGCCGTTCTCCCAAGTAGATCCTGGATAGCTTGAACACCTACCCCATACGAGACAGAAGAAAGCTGGTTCGATACCAGTAAAATCCACACACCACTAACTCTCGCGGTGATATTGTACTTGTGGGGTGATGAAAGCAGATTCGGATAACCATAGATTTTTCACGCTTCTCCCTGTGGTGGGTATGCACGAAAGAGGTTATACGCCACAAGGGTTAACCTCGAGTGATACCTGCAAATAAAATCTGAGTGTGAGTGTTCTAAACGTAAAATTGAGTCGTCCTACTTAAAGCACATATCTTCCGATAAATACTTGCATGGGTCTCCTGGAGCCAAATCAGGATAATTAATAATTTATTTATTTATCTCCCTTCTTTGTAACAGTCGAGACCGACTTGATCCAATCCACCTTCTCCATATCGGGTACTGGGTACGCTCCGGAAACTCATCGGATGGCTTTTCGTCCATGATCAAGGGTGGGTGACGAGTAGGGCTCCGATCCTACCATCTGATCCGATCGCGCTTAGCTTCATGATAACGGCGATAAGGGGATGTGTTTAGAAATGAAGACAGTACAGACCGCGAACGCGATTGGGAATCCTCATTGAAGTGAGGACAAAGGTGTAGCTCAATCTCGGCTCTGCAGACTCTACAGTGAGAGCTAGTGGTTCGTATGGGGCACCACTGACAGGTGTTGAGAATAGCCCCTGTCAGACCAGTATTAGAGCCCGGTGGAATTAGTATTCCTGACTTAATGTTTCGTGATTCATGTAAATTTCAATTTTCTAACATGATCGTAACATTATTTTCAGAATAATATGCCAAGCTGGTACCTGACATAATTTGTGATGGCCTCAGGAAAACCTTGGCGTTTTGGATAATTTTCAGCTAGAAAATACTTGGCGTCCGTGTAACAGACGTGGTGGACTAGTATTGAGTCGGTTTAGGATTATATCTTGGCTACAGCATGTTTGGATTGTGTCCTGTGATGTAAGGAAGCTATTTCTAGATATTATCATCATATGTCAGGTAGTAGATATGTGTAGATATATAAGCTGAGAGAAAGAGGAAGGAAGACAGACAGAGAGACAGACAATTACATTTTTTTATTTACTTCAATTGAAAGCTCCTATGCGAGCTATTCTTCCAGATACCTCTAGTCTCAATCATTACAGCTTCCGAACCAGCTCAAAAGGTTCGACAGCCCCCCTAGATGGGGTCTAAAGGAGTGTCGAAAATGATACAAGTTAGCACATCGGCCTAAACTTTTATCTGTATCGAAGAAAGGTCCTTGAAGTAGTTAATCCAGGATGCTAGTGTGAATATATGTGACAAAAAGTCAAATAAATGTTCTTGTCGTGTCCTCAACAGATAAAGAGAAGAGAGGTGCTGCGGCTGGCAAAACCAAGGGGTTTTGAAGCCATAATCAATACCCCAGATTATATGGAGAGCATTGCAAAGTGTCTAGGGGTAACATTTCACCTACTCATGTAAACTAAGCTAGACAGGTCACATGACCTTCATAGCAGTACATAGATTTCATCTGTATCTATAGGGTTCATTAGTCAACATTTACAACGTAATACCGTGTCCCACATATCTTTATTAAGACAAAGTAGATCCTAAATTAAGGCTGATTTGAACGGTTCCAGCTCATAAAAGAAGTTGATACGGTAGTGAATAAAATGGTGAAGCGATCCGGAAAGGAAAATACAGAATTCTCACTGGAAGAATAGTATAAACGCACTCCCTGAAGGGGACACTAGAAAACAAATATATACAGAACAGATAAGTTCGGGGGCGCTGCACCGGCTTGATATCCTTCTTCGTAATTATTCTAGCCATATATATCTAGATGGGATAGATAGAATAAAATCAAGAGTACTTTCGCAAACTTACCTGACAGAGCAAAGTATTTTGGATCAAGCGGGTGACGACTGTTCAGGGAGTAAGTCCAGGAGAGCGGATAATATAAGCGGTAGCTAGTCGGGGGTGGAGGAGATACCTGCGACTGGGAGTTCTTAAGTCGATAGCCTAGATGATTTGGCATGGAAAGTATAACGGCTTGTGAGCCGATTGTTATGTGGCACGTGATTGTAGGCACATGCTCCTATAATTCTACGGTAGTCTAGCTTTATCCCAGATCAATTCAGCTATAACTGGAATAATGCAGGCATTGGTAGAAAGACTGGGAACTACTATGAGTAGAATGTTAGAGAAGTGAATATCAGCCAAGAACGAGTATTCTAGATATTTTTTAAATGTGTAAATAGTTAGTCATAGGGAAAATTATAAACTACCTTCGTATATCTGATTGCCCATGTATCAATTCCCGAACCATGACAGAAAGAAAGACTGGAGTTGAAGCTCGGTCGCGTGGTGGCCGAGGGAGGAGGATAAAAGGCAGACAGTTTCTATATTTCTTTTGTAACACGGGGTTCTCGAGGAAGCTTGGTTTTGTTTTGATTCTGGGCTGCTGACCTCGTCATAATTCAACATAGAGATGCGTTTCGACATGAATCTATTCAATTCGGTATTTTTGTTTGTTTACTGACGTGCTAAGTAATTAGCAACCTCCGCACTCCTATTGGAACTTGGGCACGAGTGAGGCCGGGCTGGATCAGGTTAACTACCATATGATTGCAATAAACCTCGTGTCACTTAAATGACCGTACCACAGACTTCGCCTATGTGTTGAAAATGTCAAGTCCAATCGTCCAGAAAACTAGATTTTGACACGCCGAAGCGGAGTTTTCTGCTCAACTCTGCCACCACGCACCCAAGCCCTTGACACTCACCTTAACTCCGAAATATGCATGTCGTTCTAGATCATAGAATGGCTCTAGCCTTGCACCTCCTTATTGAACCGTTGGGTTGTTGTCGTCATCGAAGATCTTTGTGATTCCCTCGGTATATATTCCCTCTATCAATCCTTAGTACGCGTCCCGTTTCGTGCGTGCCTTACCGTTTTTATAGTTCTATAAATTAGATATTGAATATGAAATTAAACTCGCAAAACTCCTGCTTACTGGCAGCGGTTCAAGTTTTTCCTTTATGTCATGCGATGTGCTTCCTAGATTTGTTTACATAGGCTAGCCGAAATATTGTAGGTTCACCTTTTATTTAATTTTTATACTTTACTTTAGGTTGAGTGGGAGACAGATAATATTGTTCATCTATGTGAGATAACATCAGTCTCGATGCTCATTTCAACGTTTTGATACACTTTTAGCGGCCTCCACAAAAGCTCTGATCCTCTCCGGAGACTGAATACCCTCCACCTCTACACCACTACTTACATCAACACCTATTATTCTATCTCCGAACTCACCAGCCTGGGTAATCGCTTCAACAATATTTTCTGGGTTAAGGCCCCCAGCTAAAAGTATCCTAAGGTTCTTATCTTTCGCGAGAGTAGTCTTTACTTCACTCATATCCAATTTCTCGCCTGAACCGCCAGAGCCAGAATCAAGTAGAGGTACTGAATGATAGCCCCTTCTACTAATACCAGCTTGGCCTGGCTTAAAACTCCGAATGACAGGAACTGGAATTAAATTTGCCCACTCAACTGGCTCTTCTCCATGTAATTGAACAATATCGAGATCATAAATCCTCTGTAGCTCAAGGATATCCTTTAATGGTTGGTCTTGGAATACACCGACTAAGAGTGGTCGATTACTTGAGATAATAGAAGAAGCATGGCTGAAAAAATCAGAGGCTTGCAGGGCAGATTTATCGATAGATGTATTCCTCGTTGGAAGACACGATTCGTGGACAACTTTTGAAATAGCTACCGCATCCTCATGTGAAACGCATCGATTTCTACCGGGAACTAGAATTATCCCAATCATGTTTGCTCCAGCCTTGATTGCTTCAGCGGCTACCTCCGGTTTTCGGGTACCGCATATTTTGACGAAGAGCGGATTGGCAGTGATATCTGGAGGCGGCTTACCTTCTCCGAGGAGTTCTCTAATAAAATTTGAAGTGTTTTTAGCACGCATAAGAGCCTCTCCGATCAAGACCGCTGTAATTCCACTACCTTTGTAGGCGTCTATATCTTTTGCTTCGGTGATACCACTCAACGCACAAATGATAGTCTTTTCCGTTGCTAATTCTAGTAGTTTGGTGGTTGTATTAAGCTCCAACTCAAAGTTTGTCAGATTTCTATTGTTTACACCAACTACAGTTGCACCGAGCTTTGAGGCTATAGCCATTTCTTCGGCCGTATTGACCTCGACTAAAGGTTCCATCCCTAGAGATTGAGAATATTGGTAGAGACGTGTTAACGTATTCACTTCGAGCATTTTAACGATTAAAAGTACCGAGTCTGCGCCAGCCAACCTTGCCTCTAATATTTGATACTCATCAAAAATAAATTCTTTCCGTAGAATCGCTGGCCGATTTGGCATACCCTCAAGGGCTTGCCTGATAGCTTTTAAGTCGTCTATGCTCCCTTTGAACCATTTTGGTTCGGTAAGAACTGAGATTACACTTGCGCCAGCAAGAGCATAGGCTCGAGCCTGTGAGCAGACATTGACCTCAAGGTTAATGTTTCCCTTTGATGGAGAGGCTCTCTTGATTTCTGCCATTAAAGAGATATGAAAGGGACTTGTTCGAAGACGGTCGACAAACGAGATGAGGGGTGGAGCGATGTCGAGTTCCAACATATTCTGTAGATCGGTTGGGGTTCGTGATGGAATTTCCTTTTGAGCTCGCACGATAGTCTTGCGATGTGCAAATATTTTTTCAAGTATATTTTCTTTAGTCACATTTTTCCTTAGTAATCTTTTATTTTCAAGCCAGGTACCCCCACGAAAATGTACAAAGTTTTTAATAATGATATTTCCATCTTCTGTTAGTATACTTTCGGGATGATACTGAACCCCTTCTATTAAATATTCTCGATGTCGTACACCCATTATTGGCCCTTTCTCTCCGTTTTTCGTGTTGATCCACGAGGTAACTTCTAGACATTCTGGAATACTTTGATAGGTCCCAGCGAGTGAATGATATCTCGTGACAGGAAGATCTTGTGGTAGGCCATGATAAGCCCCCTTTCCATCATGTTGTAATGGCGAGGTTTTTCCATGGAAGATTTCCCCGGCATATTCTACATTTCCACCATATAGGTCAATAATGCATTGCCTTAGAGTGTTAGTGGTATATTATCATCCAATGTACCCTTTCAGTCTGCTTACTGTCCCATACAGATTCCGAGGATGGGAATCTTTCCGGCGAAATGAGCAATAGCTTCTCGACTAATTCCAGAATCGGTTTGGGGATGTCCTGGACCTGGACTGATTACCAAATGCGTGGGTGAAAGAGAAATAAGTCTTTCTACTGTAATTTCATCATTTCTGAAGACTGAGACTGTGGCTCCCTCTAGACAAAGGTACTGGTAAACATTCCAGACAAATGAATCGTAATTATCGATGAGAATAACATTGGAGGCTGTCTCAACGGGCGGAGCAGCAATGGGAACTCTGGGGGAGTGATTGGCGATAACTTGTGATGGCATTTTTTCAGAGATAAGGAAACGATGGTCTGGCAGATATCAAAATCTACCTCGAAATTTGCACCGGGTTATTAATAACGATATAATTGCACATATTCACAAGGGGTTGTTAATAACGAATGACATTTTTTTGGCTATCCTAGTATTTGGTGTACGTAATTGACAGGGCAACTACTTGTGTCTTTACCCCATCATAACTTGAGCCGGCGAATCACATTCCATATTCCCCTGATTTTTTTTAGAATAATGTTGTACACAGCTATCTAGCCATGACAATTAAATCTCAATTTTATCACAGTGAAAATTAACACTTTTGAACACCTACAATTTTCCTTCACCTAATCATTGCAAAGTACGATAATACATAGAGACTACACGTGGGGAACTATTATTCGGTGCAATGGCATCATCTATGGCATCGTCATCCTCGAAATCCTCCAATCCAAGAGGGCAACTCCACCCAAGCCTGCTAGGTATTGCATTAGCAATGCAGGAAGCGATAGATAGGAAAGCAAGTAGCCTGGTCCAAGAACTCCTTTAAATGATCGACACTTGGGCCAAGAGCAAGGCGCAAAAAAACGCAGCTGCAATTCTGGCCCCGTACATGAAAATTTTTGCTTCTCTTGTGACTTATTTTGCAACAGGCTCAGCTAAGATTCCCCAGACCACTAGTATGGTACACGATACTCCACCAAATACTCCAAAGCCAGTGATACAAATTTAAATATCTCTACTTTGCACAAAGCAACATTCTATCTGCAAAGCCTCTGGAGAACAGCTCGCCCTGTATTACGGTGGCCTAGAGAGCAACCAAGCTACCTGTCCCTCCCGCTGCCACACTGTGGATCCCATGAATCCCGGTCGTCTAAGTAAGCCGGAGGCTATTTAGTCCAACGCTTAGATAATTAAGACGGAGTCACATGATGGTAAGTGTGAGCTGCTCTCTTTTTTTTTAAAATCATTTAATGCGTGTGCAGCTGTCTAGCTATGTCACATGACAGACGCTATGTTTACATGATAGATGACTCTTTTGACGTCAGAGACACTCACACTCTGGATTTCATTCGCATATACTACTATATATTAAATTGGGGGGTCTTCTATCGTTGTATGACTGGATGGAAGACAAGTAAATTCGCACAATGAGAGGAAGTTGGATAGAGTCAGAAATGATAGAATTGATCTTGATGCACTCAATAATTAATTAATTCATTCATTTTATTGTCCTGTCTGAGTCTATGACTATGTAGGACATGCAATTCCTCTCTGACTACAGGCCAAGGATACCTATACCAGTAGTATTTCGCCTGCTATGCCTTCCATACAGCTCCCCTCAAACAGTACCATCCCTCACAAGTCCTCATTCAATCATACACTTAGGAGCCCTTTGCCCTTCATTATCTCCCCTCTCCAGCTAACGAAACGATGGCCATTTGCAGGTGTATGGCAGCCGGGAAAAATCGCAAAAAACCACTGGGTGCGGGGCTCTCCTAATACCGACATTAGGACTAAATCCGAAGACATAGTGACCCTTCCGAAGCGTTCGAAGAGGCCGGCCAGCTGGGCGCTGCAGACTTGTGGGTACCTCGGGAAATTCACCCTCTGCCTTTCTAGCCTCCTTCCAACTCCTTCCCAAAGGTCGTGGTGAAATGTCAGAAAAGTCTTGATAGAGCGTAATTGCTATATAGTAGCTTAGCCTAGCTTCTTTTGTGCCGTCCAGGGCGCTGGGGAGTGCCGTTGACTCATCGACAAAAGAAGCCCTCCTGGCTAATTAGCCGAAATCTTGGTCTTGGCGCCCAAAAAAATCCAAGGTTGAAAACTCCTCGAAAATATCAGTCCCAGCATGCTCTTCAGAGACCTATTCCCCCTTTCGCTCCACATCTCAGGCGCCTGTTATCCCTCAAGTTGTTGGTTCAATGAGAGCGAAAGTCCCCCATAAGGTAGAACCCAGTTTTGTATTTGTCGACTTGATTTCTTCCTTGCGGATATAATTAGCGTCGTAAATATATAGTGAGAGGTGGCTGGAAATTAATGGGGCAAGCTCCTGTATGCAATTGGAGCAAATTCTTTATTGGTCGTTGAGGCGAGATGATGCATGGTTAGAGATGGGTTGAGGACTCAGATGATAATGATGAGAGAGGCATTGTCGAGAAGTCGTCAAATGGAGATGTGTTTGAGGTTGCTTTTGACTTCGATTCGGATGCGATTCTTCTTGGCTATCCCAGATATGCAGAGCATACTGAGCGATTACAGCAGCACCATTGGAAGGTGAAGAATTCGTCTTTGCCGGCTTGATGCACTCAATAGAACAAGAGATATACGAAGACTAAAACGTACAAGATTTCTCCACGCGACCGATCTACATTATTAGCGTGGAGGACGAAGGCTGAACACCTATCAGTGGTGTCCTCTACGAACCTGGGAGTGAAATATTCTCCCAGAGCCGAGATTCAGTCACGAAAATGGGTGGGATGAATTTCAATTGATGGATTTTCGACTTGAAGGAGTTGCACTCGATATTTAGGTCGAAAAATCAGTCGACAGAGATTTCACAGCCGGAACAACGTCGAACAAAAAGTCATCACCACCAATATACGATTCACGAATGGGCCTAGGTCTATCTGGGGGTCGTATTCAAACATCCGACATCTCTTAAACTCCTTTTATACTTGCGACGAAGCATTTCTCAGTCGATCCTACACCTGCGACCCACCTCCATACTCGTCCGATCGCCTACCTACACACGCCCTAATGAGGAAAGTCATGATGGAAACGGGACGTGTACAAAGGAGGAAGAAGAGGGAAGATACACCGAGGGGATTACACAAATCCCCAATGACGAAAACAACCCAACGGTACGATATGAAGGTGCAAGGCTAGAGCAACGATGAGATCTTGGACGGCATTTATATTTCGGAGTCAATGAGGATGTCAAGGGCTCGGGCGCGTGGTGGCCGAGGCTGAGGAGGAAATCGTGCTACGGCGTGTATACAGCGGGTTTCTGGACGGTTAGGCTTGGTATGATTCAACACATAGATGAAGTCTGAGGTGGTCAGGTTATTAAAGTGGGACGAGGTTTATCTGTACTTCACGGTAGTTAACCTGATCCGGCCTAACCCCACACGTGCTTAAGCTCCAATAGGAGTGCAACGGTAGTCATGTAACCTAGCACGTTAATGAACAAAACTGTAAGCAGACTTGTGCTTGCATAAGTCTGGATCCAGTCCAAAAGCGAAAGCACGATCTGCGTGCAGGCATGTCAGACTAGTAATGATGATCAGGGTCATCAATAGGGTAGAACTAGATATTATAGTGCTACGATGGACTCATAGCACGGAGACAATTAATCGATTCGGAGGGCAAGACTGAACACCTGTACGCGGTGTCCTCTACGAACCTGGGAGTGAAATATTCTCCCAGAGCCAAGTTCAGTCAAATTTCGCAATATCAAAGAAGTTGGCCCACGAGGCAAAAATACAAATTACTCATCCACTTCGTTATTTCGCTCCCAACGAGTTTGACCCCTATCTTCGTCTCATCGAGTCTACAAGTACGACCAAGTACATCCTCATTCCAATGACCACACCACTCTTCGACCTCCTCTGGCCTCAGCTGGTCATCAAATGCACGCCCACGCCGATATTTATACCCGCCGGAGGATGCAAGGCGTGGCGCACAAATCTGGGAGACAGTTCTTTGGGATGGATGTGAGAGGGATCTGGACAAGTTGACAAGATGATGCGAAGGACGGATACAACCTCGAAGGGCATGAGATTCCGAATTTTGGCAAGGAGTTTTTCGAATTGGGCTTTGTGCCCGCCAAGACTTCGCTTGCGAGAGTGCAGTTGACACTATAAAAACAAGCAAACGATGGAAGGTGTTGTGGTCCGCCTCCTGGCGGTGTTCTCCGGTATAGTTTGAGTAGCCTGGGCACCTACTCCATTTGGGAAGGAGATATCTCATATCATATTTCGCGCGGAGAAAAGTTGAAAGATGATGGAGGCATGTCTGGATAACTCAGGGTTTTTGAGAAGTTCCCCTGGGTGGGTATTCACGGATGAGGGTTGACTTGGGGTGAAGAAAAAGCCGCCATAACTTCGCAGTGGTACTTGCAAATGAAATCTGAGGCATGAGTGCTCTACTTTTAAATTGAATCGTCTATTCTATACTTTTCTTTGATATTGTGTCATAGCTAGATAGCTGCATACGCAATTATAATCTGATGCAAAAAAAAATTAAAAAATTAATCGATTCATTCTTGTATTCGCTTTTACCTTTTGACGATTCACGTGACATTCGCACGAAGACCTCTCTAAGTTTTACAAAAACAAAACAAACATTATTAGCGTGATTGACGCGACTCACAAGTGTGACTTTGACTGGCCTGGCTCATTCTTGGACCAACCAGACACACCAAGTCATTAAACACTATGAGGCATGCTTGCTTACACAAATAGTCGACCCTCCTCTGTAAGTACCCACCAAAAGGAAATTCAAAACCTTTGGTTATCCATGCATGTCATCGTCATCCATGTAATCTTGCACCGCGTGAAGAGTGATTGTGTTTTGCCAGGCTCAAACCAGCCATCTCTTGATTGATTGATTTTATTTTTAGGTCCTAAGCTAAGCTCTATAGTGCCTCTAGGTTCCAAAAGGTAAAGCTTCAAACTGGGTCGTTGAAGGGATTAGCCCTGTAGGTGCAGTTGGGCTAGCTCGTAATAGGTTAGTATGTCTCTCCTCCTTACCCCGCTCGCCATGAAGTATGGTCCAATCGTCTTCTTCTAATAATCGCTTAGAAAAACACATTCTCAACGACATTTTTGGCTGCCAAGCCTACACAATCACTGAAACTTCTCACCACTATCAATTCATCCTCTATTCTAGCAAACAATGTCTATCGAAAAGTCTGCTTCAGAAACTAAAGTTCGCAAGCATCTAACTCGCGATCAATGTATAGAAATAAGAGCAATAAGAAGACTTGGCTTGACACTTCAAAATATATC